TTCTACCATTTATTATGTATAGAGAGCTGCGGGTTCGTGCTTTTTTGAACTGTGATCCAGGAAAAGCTAAATTTTTAGACCTGGACCCGACTCGAACCCGGTCGAGTCTAGACCCATATCCGATCCTTTTTTCACCAATATTTGGCACCCTCTGTGTACATGAACAGATAAAAGTACAAACTTTTAGCTCTTCATTGACCAGTTTAAAGATAAAATGAATGTAAAATTATTTCTGGTAGTTTATTTTGCAATATTTGTTGACTTAATTTGTTATTGTTATATATAATATTTCCATTCGTAACTTAATGCAGACTGGGTGTGAATTTACACTAAAGGATAGACCCGGACCCGAACGCGGTAGGGTCTGGAAGGACCCGCACCTCTCTAATTATGGGTCACCCATTAATATAATGATCTGATATGCATGAACTGATTAATAACAGAATGAAAAAGAAAGCAATGAAGCTTGTAGACTCATAAAAGTCAAATGAATTCAACGGGAATGACTTTTTCTTTTGTTTATTTGTAATAATTGCATTAAGGCGTGTTTAAAATAGATGAGATAAATTCTTTAGACAAGCAATCTTATTTAACAAAGAAATTTGACGTTGGTTAGTAGTATTCAAATCATAGGTATCTCTATGTCAAATAAAGATACATTGAATTTTATTTCAAGACAATTGCATATTTATTGTGGTTTGTCTATCTTAATCCTTGGAGTTACTGGTGGAATATTCAATTTTATTATTTTTACAACACTGAAAACATTTCGGGAAACAACATGTGCATTTTATTTGGCCATTGTTTCAATAGTCAATATTGGTCAATTATTAACTGCATTATTTGTACGTGTTCTTAGTGAAGGTTTTAACACGGATATCAGAAGCATATCATGGGTTTGCAAAGTTCAAATAGCTATGGCAGGATGGTGTAACGCAGTTTCATTTACAGGATTGTGTTTGGCAACTATTGATCAATACGTATCTATGAGTAAATATCGACATTTTAGTAACCTACGGTCAGCTCAACGTAATATTCTACTGACTTGTATTTTTTGGAGTATATATTGCATTTGTTTTCTCATTTACTGGGATACAACTTTTGGCACATGTACAGTTATTAATTCGAATTTTGCAATATATGTAACTCGTTTTCAGTATCCAATTCTTTTTGGATTTTTGCCTTTAAGTACAATGATTACATTTTCTTTACTGGCTTTTTATAGTGCTCGTACATTAGTCAGTCGACAAGTGAATATTGTGCGTTTAAGTCGAGATAGACAATTAACAGCAATGACACTTGTTCATGTTCTATTCGTTGTAATAACAACATTACCTCATGTGATTTACTTTACATATTTATTGAATCAAATTAGTAAAGATCCTGAACAAGTAGCACGTAATAATCTCATCTTCTCAATTACAGTTTTAATTGATTATTCAAGTTATACTGTGAGTATTTTATTTAAAAAAAGCAGAAAATCAAGTTTGTTGTCTTTTTGAATAATAGGGTTCTTTCTATATCTATTGTTGTGTTTCTCAACGATTTCGAAAGCAATTCGTCTATGTACTTGACAAGGTTTTTATGACACAATGCCGACAATGGGTAAACAAACGAAACAATAATAATCAAATTGCACCAACTATAACAGCAATACTTGATGTGCAACCTGCCAGAACACAAAGAAACTCTATTGAAATTGTTTCAATTAAGTAGATAAAAAATAATTATTTATATTTGTATTAATGATTATCATGTGAAATTTGAATTCAATTTTCACAATAACAATGTTCTTCTCTGTTCTCATCCATGTTTTTTTCTTGGATCTTGTATATGTGTTTATCATTATGTACATAATCATTCACTTCTACAAAATAAATGTTTGTTATTGTAATGTGCAGTGATGTTTTGAAATGAGAATTATATATAAAGAGTCTACAATGCAACAGCCTTATCTTTGAAATTTCTATTATTTTATTCTCTATTCTTCTATGAATATTTGAGAGTGTGGGTCTGGGTGGGTGTGAGTGGTGTGGGTGTAAATGTGGGTGAATACTTGAAAATGAGAGCCCACACTCACCACACACCGACATCATATGTGTCATGCTTTGATTCAAGTTCTACTGGAATCTCTCAAGTCAATACTTCTTCCACTTGATAAGATGGTATTCGGCAACATCGAAGTACTCATTGGTATGGTGATAGCTATACATACCCACAGCCACACCCACCCGTTTAGACACCCCTTGAATAAGACACTGGTACGTAGGGTTGTAGGTGTGGATGTTCTTCTTTCTACCACTCACTCTCACTTTTCACATTAACGTCCACCGACACGTACCCGCATCCTCATGCTAGGGAAGTACCGAGACCGAGTCTCTCGGTCTTGATTAGTCTCAGTCCCGGTCAGTCTCAGTCGAGAATGAACGAGACCGAGAGTCTCGATTCAGCCTCGGTTTCGGTACATCCCTGTTCCACGCCTTACCAATACCTGCATAGCCACACTTATAATTAGTTCAAGAATACTTATCCCAACCGTTTCAAATAAGGCTATGGGTGTGGATGTGGGTGTGGGAGTGTGGGTAGATCTGAATGAACAGAGGACGCTGTCAGGATCGCCATCTATGATATAGATGGACGATCCTTCACTTTGTTCTCGTTCCTCCTTCTCTAAGATATATATATATATGTTTTGTTTACTAACAGTCATGGTTATTATTGTTGTTATTGTGTGTGTTTTGTTGTAAACGTAGAGGGAATAGGTGATACGCTTAGGTACTTGCCTATCTATATTTTACTTATATTAAATAAAAGGTGCAAGGATCCTAACAGTTGTACTATATAGTGTTGGAATTCTTGGCTCATTACTCAATATTTGTACACTTCTTCATAGAAAATTTCGGAAAAATTCATGGTCGCTCTATTTTCTCTCGGCTTCAATCACTGATTTCAATCTTATGAATGGAGTTCTTATGATCGATGCCATGAGATATTTAAATCCATCAGTCTTTTCCTACACGAATTCAACTACAGTCTGGTGTAAACTAAGGATATATCTTTTGTTTCTTCTACCTTGTCTGTCATCTACTTTTATTACTCTTGCTTCTATTGATCGTTTCTGTACGAGTTCATATAGTCAGCAACTTCGCAAAGTCAGTCAACTAAAAGTGAGTCGTATAGTAATACCATTGATAATATTGATATGGATTCTTTTCTCATTACATATTATTATATCATACAATATTATATCATATCCACCAACAACACCAAATCGATGTAATACTCCATCGAATGCATTTGTGTTTTTTTTTGACTGTGGACGGCTATTTCTTTTCTCTGTATAATGGTGCCATTATTCCTCTACTTCTTTCAATTTTTGGTTTCTTGATTTATCGAAATGTACAACTAAGTCGTAGGCGAACTGCTCCAGTGCCGAATGCAAACAGTAGCAGAACGATAGCAGCAGTACAGAATCCACATATAAATTGACACAATTTGTATTTGATAACCATGGTTTTAGTACAATCAATTCCAACAATCTTTTTGAACATACCTTATATGACAATCTATCTTTATGGTTTCTATTATAATACTGTTTCAACCAACCAGTTGCTTCTTCTTGTCTATACGATATTCGTGTATATTGGACGATGGTTCTGGTTTCTGAACTATGCCAAGACATTTTATGTCAACAGTTTAACAAATCAAGTATTTCGAAAAGCTCTTAAACAGCAACTGACCAATCTCAGTCTCCAATTGAATATCAGAGTTATGCCTGGACATCATCCTGGTATCTTATCATAAATATTCGATAAATTAGTTTTAATGGTCATGTTATTATTCAATAAAATATCAAAACAAAAGTGACTTATGTATTTTTAAGATACGAAAACGTCTTGAAGATGAAAATAACACAACTCGAAATCGAACTGAACTAGAACTCTAGGATGTGAGTGTGGGTGTTCTCGCAGTCCGTAACAACACCCGTACCCACACCCACATTCACTCTATAATTAGGTTGTAATCGACTGGAATGACTATTGAATGTATAGTCATTCTTAAGATAAACGAAGAATAAAGTATTTTATAAGATTTTTGAATTCGAATTTCTTGTTATAGTAGTTGAATATATTGATCTGTCTATTGATGGTAACACAGACTACAAAGCTAGCCTCAATTCGACAAATATCAATGTCAAAGAAGATTTTTTTTTCTTTTTCCAAACAGAAACATGAATAATTATCAGTACTCTTTTGATCTTAAGATAGATATATCTCCATTCAAACAAAACCGTTTCTTTTAAACGTTCTCTTGTGGAGATATGATCACATTACTGAAATTTACTATTTGTGAAAAAGTCAAAATTTGGATAAGAAAGATAGAGGTCTTTACATTACGTGTGTTTCTAAAATACTTCAACGGATATTAGAACATATTCAAACAAGAATAAAAAATGTAGAGCATTCGACGCTCTATCCAACTGCACATGACAGAATTTTTTCATACTATAAAATCTAAAACACCAGTGGTCTTTTGAGAATTATACGAAACAAAATTTTTCCTATTTGTGCATTAATTTCATCACACGCATTTTCACTATAACTTATCTTCAATAAGACATATCAAGCTGAAAATCTTATGATGAATGTATCTCGCATACTTCTACTAGCAGTCCAAATTTCATTGAATTTGGGCTACTTTTTCAAAAACCGGCGGTGTCCTTTGCAGTTTACTATTTTTAAAATGGCTTTAATCTGTGTGTTTTAGCATATAGTATTGGTGCTTCACTGCCAATTGCTGATTTAACTCATGTAAAATGGACAAAACTAGCTGTGCACATTTGTGAAATGAGTATGAGAAGTTTATCTTGCAAATTTTACAAAGTATTGCTCTCGGATTATATGTTTTCTGGGAATGCTGGAGAAAAAGAGATCACACAATAATAATCACGGTAAAAAAACAAAAAAGAAAAGAAAATTATTTGTTCAAGATAATATGAATTACATTGCATGATAAATTAATTTTTCCCAACTATTTGAATTATCAAGATTGCCCGTACTTCCACATCGATATCGACCTGCTGTACCACCTGTATGCCAACAAAGACGATATGCAGGATTATTACTCATATCACCATCACAATTACCACGCACTACGCTATTAGATCCCAAGACAAAACCCCATGAATTCCAGCTAGTAGTATTCCTTGCAAAATACCAACCAATTCCATTCGCTTGATGTGTAACAGTGGGACCCGCAGAACAATCGTACAGTACGTCGACTTGATTGCCCATTCCAGCTAAGGTCAACAAGGTATTACTAACGGGACGACAACCCAGGAAGAGTTTGTCTTTATAACACGTCGATAAAATAGCACTCATATTCACAGATAATGGTGCTGAATAGAGAGCTGAATAACAAAGCGACCAAGCTGAAGACAAAGTCGTCAGATTAAAATTTAATTGAGGCCCATAAATGAAAGGTTCAGCTACAAAGACAGATCTTTTCTTTAATATATATTCGCAGTAAAAGTCTCTACTTGTTGTGGTAGTAGTGGTATCTGTAACAGTCGTCATGGTGCTTGTTGTTGCAGTCGTTATTACTGAAATACTATTGTGATAAACATATGTAAAATATAAATGTCTTACTTGTTGTGATTGACTTAGTCAAAACTAAGGCCAAGGTTATGGTCAAAACTGTGCCAACTACAAGAGAAGCCAATGCACATAAAAATAAATATAGACGGGAACGTCGACAGACATAACTACTAAAATACATCTTTTATGATCACTAGTAATATTAAAAGAAATAGTTACTTGTTCTTTTTCTTTCGATGATGGTCTTCTATCGAACCTGTTTGATCTATAACCATTCATTTATTCTCTACAATATTAAATAGATAAAAATAACAAAATTTACTTTTGTATTATTCTGATTATTACTAATAGTATCCTGAAATAAGTTGAAATACTTTTGTTATTGAACTAGATTGACTAGTATTTTACTTCATGATGAGCAACTTTCGATGATCTTAAAGGATGTTTTACTATTTTTATTAAATTATCAATTCTTAATTCACTTTGATCAAATTTTTTTGAACGTGTGGAACGCATCAATTCTTCTGCAGACTATTTTTTTGACCCACATCCGAGAGAATCAGTGAAGGTATTAATGAAAATCTTTTCGAAGAAGTGAAAATAGACCTAAATTCAAGAAAAATTAGAGAAAGCAAACAGAGTTTAAGTTGTTGCTTGATTTGATAGAATTAGATTGATGAGTTGATCGAATACTAACATGAATAACTTTATTTCGTTCTATTCTTTTCTTTTCTGATACGTAATGAGACTACAGATCAAACAAAACTTTGAAAAAATTGAATTTAATTAGAAAAAACTCACAATATTTTGACGTGATACATTTCGACGATGGTGTATAATATTTATAACACTTGCTTGAATTCTTGTTGTATAAGATGGAATACTTTGTGTAAACGGATGCCGTCTGAATGATGCTTTATCGTGTTCCATGTGTTTGGATGATCTGCTTGTTCCTATGGAAATTTGTTTTTAAAATGTATTGAAACGAATTCATTTTTGTTGTTCTGTTGGAGTATTAAGCGCATCTATCTGGTTTCTCAGGTGTGATACATAAATTAAATCAAAGAAAAAGCAATAGACATGCTGAATTCATATTGCTTTTGTGCACGTAAATAATCATCTATATGTTGTGCAATGCCTTCTTAATTCTACACATAGTACAGAAGAATTTTTCAATGATGTTAAAACTGATAGAATATCTCAAGTACAATAATCTCATTCCTCGATATATCGAAGAAATCATACGTTCACTTCCTTAACATGTACTGTATGTTTGAATTTGAATTATAAAAATTTCGACAAAAGTAGGGATCTGCAAAATCACTATTTTCCGGTTCCGATTCCGATCTAGTCCTGATTTTTTTTTGAAAAACAAGCAACTTTTTAATGATCAGTATAATTCTTCGAATACATGTAAAATTTGCATGAATGTTTTTGATTCGTCAATAGTACGAAAATCCTTTTATATGCATGTATCAGAACTAAGGATATACAAAAGCAGTTTTTTTTGTTCCAGTCATGTGACTTAGAAAATTCTTTCTCTCTCTCAGTAGTTCTCTTCATTCACATGTCTATGGCAACACATTTAATCAGATATTTAAGTGAATTTAAAATGAAAGAAAATGAGCCTAGATGGCTTATCTCTAGATATTGTATACATTATCACATGACGGTATGACCATCTAAAATTAACTAATCCATCTTACCTCCACAAGATGCAACAAATGTTAATTCTTTAGTTTATATAGAACACATGATCATTGAAAATATATCGGACTGATGTCTAAAGTGGGTGTGGGTGTGGGTGTCGGTGCGAATAAAGAGAGAAATGATACTCACACTCACACTCACACCCACCCACACCCGCACACCCACACCCACAACCCACACCCACACCCACCCACACCCACACCCACACCCACCCACACCCACACCCACCCCACCCACCCACACCTACCCACACCCACACCCCACCCACACCCGGTGTACCGGGCTCCCCGGTTTGATTCACTTTTATGCTTATAAAAACAAAAAAATTAAGCTGTTTTATTAGAAATTTTTAATCAAATTCAGGGATTCCGACGACGTGTCGATGATTGCATGATTACATGAACGCTTTAAATGAAAAAAAATTAGTTTTTTGTCCGTTTCGTAGTCCTTGTGCATTTATTAGATTCCAGCTCGAATTTTTGTACTCGATGATTTCCGTTATCGCCGACATAGAGATTGCCGTGTCGATCGAATGACAGAGTGAAAGGCCACTTGAGTTGGTCCGATTGTTCTCCTTCACCGTTTCCACCAACAATGACACTTCCCTGTGTGGTTCCTTTGGGCCAACGCATGATTCGAGCATTTCCCCAATCAGCCACATAGACAGTGCCCAATTGATCGACAACGACTCCTTTAGGATATGACAATTGTGTAAGACCATTTCCTCCTCCTTGACCACCAGCCACGACAATGCCTTGAAATGCACCTTTCACCCATTTCATCACACGATCATTTCCCCAATCAGACACGTACACTGAATGATCTCGATCGACGAATACGTAGTGTGGGTAAAAGAGTTGATCGAGACCATTTCCACGCCCATTGCCACCTGCAACCACTGTTCCTTGACATTCTCCTCTTCGATATCGTCTCACTTCATCTTTTACCCAGTCAGTGACATAGAGAGATCCATTCTCGTCCATTGTCAAACCCCAACAATCGATGTTCGAGATGATCGTTTCTCCACTTGTCCCATTTCGACGAGGCCATCGAACCACTCTTCTATTCGAAGTATCGGAAATGATGAGACTATCTCTCTCTTTGTCGGCAATCACATCTCTTGGGTAAGACAACTGATGAGCCCCACTTCCTGGTCCATTTCCCCCGGCAACCACTTGGCCACTCGTCGCACCCCATTTCCATCCCACAATACGATTATTGTCATAATCAGCGACATAGACTGTATGATGATCATCAACATACAAACCACATGGGCTTGAGAGTTGATTGATTCCATCGCCTTGTCGATTTCCTCCAGCCACAGTGATACCATTCTGTGCCCATTGGGCATTGACGGGAATATTAGGAATTACTACAGCGAACGAGACATAGAATCGTCGTCAAAGAGATCCTCTTCGTAAGAGAAAGGGTTGCGCAAAAGAAAAATTCTTCTTCAAAAAGGGAATCCGTTACAAAAGTGGAGAATTATCTCTCCTCTAACAATATCTGAACCATAACGAAGGTTCTCCTCGCAGAGATAAAGTCACATCGGATGAGTCCTTATCAAACATCTATGAAAAGTTTTCTATTTGTCGTTTGACATTAAAAATAAAAATGAACGTGTTTGCAAACGATTTGTGTATGTTTTATCTAAGATCTTTTGTCTTATAAGAAAATCTAAGGATCTCAGCAGGAATGTGTTCTAGACTTCTACGTGGTTATATCTCAGTAAATCCTATAACGAACTAACAGAGCTCTATAGGAAACCTTGAGACTTCCGGGAAAAGTTCTCAACATGGTTTCAGAGGAATTTGTCACAAGCTTCCAACTACGGATTTACTTGAGTGGTATTGGAAGCAGCACAACAATGGCATGGATCAAGAGAAATTTTTAGCGTAGTAATATGAGGTTTTGACAAGATCAGCGAGAAAAGTTTTTAGCGAGTATAGATGAGGATCTTCGCGAGAAGGGAGAGAACTAGACAAGAATGCTTAAGGCGACATGTGGAATGCTAGAGCAAAATCTCGGGTGCCAGACGAAACATGTGGAATGCTGAAAGCCATAACAGGGATCCAAGATGCATTACCTGAAAAGCTAAAAGATATATCCGGATACTGGAAAGAGCATCTGGAATGTTATAGACAATATCTGAGATGCTAGAAGCATCATCTGCTATTTTCGAGATGAATACGCGGATAGTGACGGCGTCATCTTTGGGTGTGGGTGTGGGTGGGTGTGAGTGTGGGTGGTGTGGGTGTGGGTGTGGGTGTGGATGTGGATGTGGGTGTGGGTGTAGGTGCGGGTGTGGGTGTGGGGTGTGGGTGTGGGTGTGGGTGTGGGTGTGGGTGTGGGTGTGGGGTGTGGGGTGTGGGTGTGGGTGTGGGTGTGGGGTGTGGGTGTGGGGTGTGGGTGTGGGGTGTGAGTGTGGGTGTGGGTGTGGGTCTTATATTCACACCCACACCCACACCCCAGTCCCACCCGTACCCACACTCATACCTACACCCCATACCCAAGCCCACACTCCACACCCACACCCTCGAAAAAACAGAATAATATTATAGAGATAAATTCTTACGAATTGTCTCGAGCCTCTCGCCATTAGACAGTTTGAATTTTTATATTCTTCTCTTACGAAATAAATCTCGGAAATTTCTCATATTCAGGTATTGTCTCCAGAATACGTATCTGTACCAACGGTGACTCGCCAACATGCATTCTGCTCTCATTAGTACCTTACTGAGGCAGCTCAGCCAATGGTGCTGCAAGCCTTGAAAACCGACTTACATACGCAGCTGCATTACTTTTTATAAGTGATATATTCATCCCATTCAATCATTAATGTTCTTTTGAGCTCTAGCGATCACTGCGTCATATCTAGATGATCAGTGTTCACTTTGGCATATTTACTCATTAGAAATAGAAGAGAGAGAGTTATAAATGCGTTTTCTCATGCACTAGCTGTCAATCAAAGTTGTTTTGAGAAAAACGTGCTGTCTAGTGAACTTAATTTTTACAAGAATGAGTCAACAAAACAACGAACATTCGGAATGAAGAAGAGGGTAGCACAGAAGAATTGATGTACCCTATGAATATTCCAACATATTACACGTTCTACAGAATTGAATCAAATCGAACGATCGATTTTTCATTTTTTTTCGATTCCTGATGCACATTCAAAAGTTTCCTGTGTCTTCATGTATTGCTAGATATACCTACAAACTCTTCATTTCAGATCACCTGATATGGTCCATGAGAAGAGACGAAACTTTTTCTCCAATAATTACATTTCATTTTGTTTTCGTCATGATTTATCTACATCTTTTAAAGCCTCTTCGGCTCTTCCTCACCATTCTCCTACCAACATGAATTGGATATGTGAGGATATGTAGAGGTTGAAGAGTGTGTGGGTGTGGACCTATGTGGATAGGTGAGTATGGGTGGGTGTGGTGTGGGTAGATGAACAAAGGTCTGCTCACGCTCCGACCCAATCCACATCCATCTACCTGCAAATATTCCGTTCAATTGCTACGAGTTCAAGAGTCTATATTCACTTTGAGAAATACGTTTAGAAGAAACATGCATTATAAGGATTGTTATTTTGACTCATCGACTAATTTTATACAAAACTTTCAATGAAATTTAGCAAGACTTGGAACGCTCCTCCATCAATCCAAAAACAACCTTGAATTTTAGTTAAGAAATCACGAAGATATTCAAGTATTTTTCATGACAGATTTTTGGGATACCCTGTATATTCCCAAGCAATATCAAGAATTTTAATAGAACGGCTCTTAACGGAAACACAATATCAACTTACTCGTTTCTTCCGGGCACGGCCGGCCGATCGATGCAATGGAATTGGGGCAAAAGCAGCCGAATGTGTAATTTCCAGGAAATGCTTGTTCAATACAAATAGCTTCGGATACTCCGCATGTGCTTTTGCGATCACAGAGTCCTTTTGAGGCAGAATATGCAGTGTGTCACAAAAGTCGCTTGTGTAAAATAATGACGCATAACTCCACTATTTAGTTAAACCTAAATGATTATGAGTTGTTAAGGATCGGTGTAGAAGTAGACGTGGGTGAGAGGTTTTGGATGAGGGTGAGGGTCTTCTCTTCACCTTCACCCATCTACACCTACCAACATGGTCATTCCGTCTCCAACATCACATTGTCACCACCATCCATCCTCTTTCAAATCACTGGAAAGAAATATATTCTTTTACCGAAAACTTCAGTTGACGTCTCCAATTCGGTTCTCTCGAGAATATCTTGCTGTGTACTGAATATTCAGTGTAGCAACCCTTACTATTGAGTACTATGTCATGAGAACATATAAATCTCTCTGGAATTCTCTTAGTCTCATCGAGCTTTATTAATGGGAAAAAGTTGAGATTGATATCGTGAAACTAGTTGGAGTATTTCCCTGATGAGTAGTTTTTGCAATAGGATAAAAGTGATACTTCGTATTTCAGTGGCTAGGGGTAGTTTTCAAGAGTAGCTGAGATATTTCTCTTTACGAAAAAAAATTTGACGATGGTAACTTTCATAAGAAAAAAAGATAGTCAATTAGGTTTAATCAAAAAGTGGTATTATATGAAATTATTTTACACAAGCGAGCTTCGGAACACATAGTATGAAACCAGAACCTTGAATAGTAACTTACGACACCGTTGATTCATTTGAAACTGTTGATCAGGACACGTACAAATAACTGTTCTACTTATGGTTTCAAGACAATCATAGCCATTGGTTGGTATAAAATAACCGCCGAGCTCGCATATTGAACAGTCTTTTAACATGACATAGGGAGCTTATTTAAGATATTAGTACACATCTCACTTACCAAAAGTGGTTGCTGTCGTAATGAGAGCGAAGAAAACAACGGCACAAAGCGGAGTCATCACTCAATTGATCAAAAAACGTCCTGCGTACGAAATAAATAAGTGTGAGTCGCATCTGCAAAGTTTCTCAGTTGTGCTTTTGCTCACTTCTAGCACAATGATAAGCGAGCGTGAGTTACCACTATGTGTGTGAGTAGCCCAACCGCATGTGTGACAGGTTTCAACGAATATTCCCCGAATCGGTTCTAACATAGCTTATCGTGTAGAGCATATTGGGTGTGGGTGGGTGTGGGTGTGGGTGTGGGTGTGGGTGTGGGTGTGGGTGTGGGTGTGGGTGTGGGTGGGCGTGGGCGTGGGTATGGGTGTAGGTGTGTGTGTGGGGTGTGCGTGTGGGTGGCTGCGGGTGTGGGCGTGGGTGTGGGTGTGTGGTGATGGTGGTTATGAGACAATCACTCACGCGCATACCGGAACCCACACCCACACTCCACACCCACACCACACCCACACCCACCCACACCCACCCACACCCACACCCACACCCTTTTTAATAAATATTGTTAAAAAGAATTCCAGTAAGGATTTTAGGTTATTGGCAAAATATTCATTCTGGTAATTTTCATTTCAATTAAACGTTATCGATTACATGTTTTATTTTATTGAATATTCTTCATCTTCTCAAGATAAACTTTGGAAATCTTATTTGTAAGTCTGGTCGAATATTGAATTATAAATCCTTCACCGAAAATATTAATTATTGGCTAGGATTCATATATGTTTACTATTCTATTGTGTACAAACTGTATGAAAATATCTTCATTGGCAATTTCAGCTTGAAGTATTCATTGTCGTCCAAGCCAAAATAACGATATGAAAATGCGTAATATATTTGATAACCAAATATTTCATAGAAAAGTTCATGGGATGATTTTTCGATGGAAGTTACTGATATTCTTATAATCTCTTCACTTGTTTTTCATGCGCAAATGGGTGAAAATGTATCTATTATTATGATGAAGTTGAATTAAAATAAAAATCAGTATTAAATTATTGAACAAAAATTTCTTTAGAACAT